GAGAGAGAGAGAGAGAGAGAGAGAGAGAGAGAGAGAGAGAGAGAGAGAGAGAGAGAGAGAAAGAGAGAGAGAGAGAGAGGAGGAGGAGATTGCGCTGGCAGGGAGAAGGGCAGCCATAGTTGCGCCAGTGCAGAGTGTTAGTAGTAGACTTTAGAGGGTTAGTAGGCGTATCAGTGGGTGTATTCAGAGTAGATCCTTGAGTAGAAGTTAGCATGTAGGGAGAGAAGACACATCTGATATGTATGTGCTTTAGGGTGTATATATATTCAGTTTCGCCACATTTGGACTAGTAACGAAAAACTTAGCAAAAACAGCGGACTGAAAGAAAGATTTGGCGAACTTCGAAAGGTACTCCGAATAGGGTTTTATAGTGCTCTTGAGTTCGTTTTTTTTGTTTTTTTTTTGCCTGTTTCAAGGCTGTTTTTTTTTTTTAATGTTTGTATTATGACCCTGCATGGTTTGTTCGCAAAAGTTTTGACAACATTGGTTGTAGCGCTGCAGCGAAACCCCCCCAATTTTTGGCCTTCCATTAACCGCTAGTGCATCCCCACGGCCTGTCTGCTTCTGAATGTCAAGGCCTGGAACCTTTCTGAATTTCCATTGGTCTGCTGCTGCTTGGGCCTTTGAGTCGTGACTTTTCGATTTTGGCATATGGATTTGACTGTGCGAGGATCTGGGTCCTCGGCACGCCTAAGGGGCCCCAGTTGCAGTGGTGCCCGCCCTAAGTGAAGGCGGGCCTAACATATTACAAGAGGCCTTTGACTGTCAATTTCATATTTGGGGTACAGGCGGTCGCGACGTGCCAGTTGGTTGAAAGAAACACAGGCCGAGCAACCAAGGCATTTCCACGGCCTACCGGGCCTTTCCAAAGAATGCAGGCCCTGGGCGTGAATCGCAGCCTCATACACTGACAGTTGGGAGGCCCAACCGAACGAGGCCCAGTAGCTGCATCGCAAAGGCAGCATCATGGGGCCTTCCGGAAGCTTCTGGGCCCAGGCCAGTACAGCCAGGCTGCACGAGCAGGCCAGCTCTTTCCATAAAGGAAAGAGCTCTCCCCAGGCAGCCTCATGGAGGCACTCGCATGCTAGCGGCAGCGCTGCTGAAGCAAATGCTCGTGGGCTGCTGCTGGCGTTGAGAGGCGAGGTGCAGAACGTGAGGTCGTGCAGGGAAGCAGGGCGCTGCTGAGGGCAGCGCCATAGCCCAGCCACAGTAGCTGGTGGGCTTGGACTACAGTGAGGCGCATGAGTGGTCTTCGGGTGCAAGGGAGGAAGACGTGGGTGTAAAGTCAGGGAAGGGTGAAGGATGATGATGATGATGATGTGAGGGCACATACCTTGTATTGGCGATGGTCTGCATTTGGGCGACATCTTCAAGTACTTCGGGTTGCCGCTGATGTCAACAGTTGCATTGTCAATTATTAGGCTGATCGTAGCTGTGTAGGAGTAGGCTGGGCGCTGAGCGCCAAGTAGGAGTGTGAAGGGACTGGACTCTTGTGTTGTGGCGGAGAGAGAGAAAGCTCTCCTTGACATTGGTTTTCAGTACTACGAACCTCCATTGGTGTATTATTGGTGCAATGCTGCTCTCTGGTCACAGTGTGACTATGTGGCTTTTAATCTGATGGTGTAATCTGGAATTTGTCATCTCGTTGTTGCTTATTTTCCTTGCAATTGTGGATTGTGACTCCTGCCTCTGGGACACGACTCTTGCCTGTGGAACTTTCCCTTTTACTCGCGGGATGTGTCTCTTCAATACGACTTTTCATTATGAGACATGACTTTTGCCCCTAAGATTTGATTGTTTGCTGGGTGCCTGTTGGACTGGACTGCTGAGGTTCCCGACTGTGAGTTTTCTGAATTCAATGAACTCGGTCTTTCTTGACCAGGGCCTATGACCCGGAGACCCGAAATTGGGGCCTGAATCGTGGAAGGCCTTTCACTCTCGCCGGCCTAATTTCGAGGTCCTCCGAGAAAATTACCAATTTTATCTATCTACTATGAACTCCTCTCTTAGCTCTTTCATAATAGGACACAATATGCAGTGCTGTTTCTTTTTTTTTTCCTTTTTTTTTAAACCACTAGTACCTCCGAGCCTGTTTTTGCCGACCCTGAATTTCACTGCGCTTAGAGTTTGCCGAGCTTGGGTACCACTTCGTTTTCTTTCTGGTACTCTCACGGAAAGAACAAAAATAAAATAAAATAAGAAGAAAAGTTGCGGCCATGAACTCGTAAAAAAAGAAAAAAAAATAAAAAAAATGAAACAAAGCTTTGGCCGTGATTGCAGTTGTATACATTCTTGGAAGTGGCAGTGTGAATGTGCCCTCAGTGAGGGCATCTCTGCCCCGTGGCCAGGTTGTCAGATTCGAAAAAGAGAATAGAAGGGGAAAAAAACAGGCACACGGATCCGGCCGTGAAAATGGCTGGATACATTCCCCTTAGTACCAGTGTGATGAGTGTTACAATCCTCTGACAAAACACAACTTGAGCAGATCACGGACGGCTTGAGCAATTCATGGATTCCGCCCTGCCTTATTGGCAGCGGACTTATAAAAAACACACGAGCAAGAACAAAAAGAAAACAGTAACATCGAGAATGTGACCGCCTTACCGGTGAGGTGCATTCTGTGGAGGAAGATTCTAAGCACGACCTCCAAGACTACCCTGCCCGACATCATTGTAGTAGAGATAGCATTTTCTTTTTTTCCTTTTTCTTTC